AATGACTCAGTTTACTGCACCTCCAATGGACGCCGTAGATAGACAATAGAGCGCACGCGCACAGACACGATTTCGTCTGCAGTCCGAATCAGCTCGTCCAACGCTCCGCATCTCGATCTGCATGCACCACTCACACTCGCTGCACGCCGCCACGGTGCGTCCATCTTTTCTTGCTTGTTGCCACTCGCTAATCACCCTAAACCTGTCTCACAGGCGCAGCTCTCCCTTTAGGCCAGAACGCCCCGGGAATACACCCCTCAGTCAACGGTTCAGTTCACTGCACCTCCGATTGCGAGACGTAGTCAGAGTATGCAGTGTGCACGTACAGATGCAGCTTCGCCTGCGGCTCAAATTAGCTCATTCAACGCTCCCTAGTGCACTACTCACTCGCTACACGCCATCGCAGTGCATCCATCTCCTCAATCCAGTTACCTACTCACGCTGACAACGCTCATGCCCACACTCTTAGCCAATCAATCTCACAACCTGTCTCACCCCTAATTGATGTAGATTATAATGTATTTATATAATGTATCAATATAATTATAAACTGTTATTTCAATAACAAACGGATATAAGGGAAAATAACTATTATTAAGATATTAAAATGATTTGAGAGCTTTATAAACAATTATAATATTTGCCATAATTAACAAGAGTGATTTAACCTTGTAATTTTAGAGATCCATTGTAATGCATTTTATATATTGTCAAGGAGAATAACTCTTATTTATGTTTACAAACTACACAAACCTTTCAGACTTTATAATGAATTGTAGTACTTTCTCAGAAACCAAGATCTGTTCCAAGTGTTTTTACTTTTTTAACTTTTTTCACTTATTTTATACCATTATAAGGTAGGTCAAGAATTTAGACTTTTTCCTGATGGAGTAGCTGATGATACAGTCTGGCCAGATTTACAAACAGCTGATACAGTTATCAATTAGCTAGTAATAACAAGTAGTGGATACAAATACATACTAGTAATGTCAAACTCTTCATCATCCAAGACTTCATCCAAGTCAAACTCTTCCCTATCATCTTCTCTGGCTTCATTATCATTACTACCCATTACTACTAATAAAGCTGTACAAGTCAATTCAAGCTCTGACAGTTCTTCAGCATAGAGATCAACACTATCATCAGGTAGATCAATGACTTCATTGACAATCTTAACAGACTTATCATAAATTAGTATAGTGACAATGTAATAGAATGAGGAAAGCTTACCTGAATACTAGGAGTAATGTTGTTTACTGTAGGCTGTATATTTACTGAGTCTGTAGTAACTTTACAGGGTCGTCCAGGGCCACACTTGACACCAGCCTTTGGTTTGTTGGCTTGACCTTCTTTCAGTACGTCTGACATTTTATGCTTGATCTATAAATAAAGTAAGATATGCAAAAAATAGAGTAGTTAGAATGAATACATACTGTAGGGATACTTTCAGGAGGCACAGAATCTGACTGACTGTCAAGCATAGTGTTTGTAAGCTTTTGAGAGCATCCAGGCAGACGTTTCGCTTGTACAGAGCCTATTGGCTTGCTTTCCTTTGCTTGAGCAGCTTTGCATGCTTTTATTAAAGGTATCTTCCTATGTGTCAGTTTTTCTGTAGACAATTCAAGGCCAGTGGATTTGGGCAGTATGATGGAAGGAAACACACTAGGGTATAGGGTGTAGTTGGGCTTTGAGAGCTCAATGTCATGTTTGTAGAATGGCACCAAAGCCTGTTTTCTGAAAAGTCAGTGGAATTACCAAAAGTACCTTGATTGGACTGATCTGAGCACTCAGCAACTCCAACATTCACATGGGGTTGTGTAACTGTTTGTTCAGTTTGTTTTGACCCTCCTCCCCTTACTGTCCTACATTGCCAGCTTGTTTATCGAAGCTTGAATTAGTATTTTTTCTAAAGCATTAGAAGGTGTGTTGTAAATACTCATCTCAGGTATACACTGTCTAATTCCTATTATAGGAATGGCAGTACTACAGGATATATGTGCTGCTATAGTTTGAATGTGTTATATTTGCAACATACCAGTTGCTCAAATATTGTTTTATTTGAACATACTATCATTGACTGTCTATCATATTTTGAGGACGTGGTCAGAAGGAAGCAGTGTTACAAAGACGAAATCAATCAGAGGACAGCCACAAGCACTTGATTATAATGACACAGGGGTAAAACCAAAAAAATCACACATTACACTTGTTAGCATCAAGTAACATGTAAATTGAATCTTATAGCTCCTCCTGAGTGCCTTAGAGTTTTGGAATGATACTTACCTTGATGAGCTAAAGGATATCATAGAGTAACAATGTGGGATCAAGTGTTCAGAGTCAACAATCTGGAGAATGTTGAGGAGGGTGGGTTTCACATTAAAGAAGGTTAGTAAATATGATTTACTTACTTTAATATCTATTTAACTGATACAGTGTAGATAAGTAAACAGGCACAGGAGAGAAATGAACAATTGTGAGCAGAATTCAAAGTGTATATGACCCTGAATTACAAGGCAGATCAGCTCATATTTGTTGATGAAAGTGCTTGTGATTGGTGAGCTTACATGCAAGACAAAGTATGGGCATTAGAGGGTCTACGTGCAGTCTGTAAGGTATTCTTCATGAGAGGAAAGAGGTGAGAAATCTGAAAATCTGTATATAGAGAATAATTACTCACCATCCAAACAAAGATACTCTGTTTTGCCTGGTATTGCAATTGATGGGATTGTTGACTGCACTATTATTGAGGGGTCTTTTAATGCTGAATGCTTTACCAAATTCATTAAAAGCCTGTTGGATCATTGTCAGCTGTTTCCTGGTCCAAGATCTGTTATTGTAATGGATAATTGTGCTATACACAAAGCACTGGAAGTCTGTAGAATTATTGAAGAGAGGTATGCATTTCAAGAGAAATAGGTCCATATAACCTGCTCACAAATAATCAGGAGTGTGAAGCTTGAGTTTCTGCCTCCTTACTCACCAGACTTCAATCTGATTGAGCTAGCGTTCTCACTCTTGAAAAGCCAACTTCGTTGGGAAGGAAAAATCACTCAAGATGATACTGGTGATGATTTCAGGGTATACAAACAGCTATATCGTGTGATCTATACAATAACTCCTGCACAGGCCAGGAGTTTCTTCCATCATTGCGGTTACGTTTGACACGCCTTGTACTCTTATCATGCAAGCCATCAAATATCATAGTCTTCACATGATATATGAAAAGCGTCCTGCAAGACAGATTAACACGACTGGACCTTCAAGAATCGATCAAACTGTACCGAGCTGCTCTGATTTTCGGCAGCAGTATTACCTGGAAGCACATAATCCATTCCAGCACACCAGATACTGTTAATACATTATGGCAGGGACAGTGTGATGGGCATGGTAGACGAGAACAATACAACTGCCCTGGCAACCTTCAAGAATCGATTGAACTGTGCTGCACTGCTCTGAAATTAGACATAGGTAGTACTGTGAGCCATCTTGCTGAATGAGAAGACCCTCCTGACCTGTGCACACTGGATATGAGTATTACAAACAGGTGCGTTCAGTATAACAACTAACCAGATATTGAGAATACAGAGTCCAGACGTACCGGGGACCTTGAAGGACCAATCGAACTGTACCGTGCCGTTCCGAATTAGTTGTAGGTATCATCCTACTGTATTAGCGAAGCCGTCTGATCTGCGCACCCTAGATACTGACAATACAAACCGGTGAGTACAGGACGACGACAAGGTAGGATAATGACAGGACAGACGCACCGGGGACCTTAAAGAATCGATCGAACTGTACCGTGCCGTTCCGAATTAGTTGTAGGTACCATCCTACTGTATTAGCGAAGCCGTCTGATCTGCGCACCCTAGATACTGACAATACAAACCGGTGAGTACAGGATGATGGACAAGGCAGGATAATAATAGGATAGACGTACCGGGGACCTTAAAGAATCAATCGAACTGCACTGTGCTGTTCTAGACAGTTGAATACATGCATATATATATATT